AAGCCCTGGAGCAGCTACAGACAGCACTGACCACAGCCCCAGTACTCATCTTACCGGATCCAGACAAGGACTACGTGGTGGAAGCAGACGCTAGTGACCAAGCAGTCGGAGCAGTACTGATGCAGGATCACAGACGCGGTTTGCAGCCCATCGCCTACCTCAGTAAGAAGCTACACGGAGCAGAACTGAACTACCCCATCCATGACAAGGAAGCCTTAGCGATAGTCATAGCCTTCAAGGAGTGGAGGTGTTACCTAGAGGGAGCCAAGACTACAGTCTATACTGACCACTGCAGTCTCAAATACCTGAAGTCGCAGCCGACGCTCTCACGACGACAGGTGCGGTGGGTGGACTTCCTGGAAACTCACTTCCACTACGACATCGTCTACAAGCCCGGGCTACACAACAAAGCAGACGCATTGAGCCGCCCCGGTCATGTAGCAGGCATCCAGCTCGACGGGATGAACCCTTTGCTCAAGGGTCTATTCCAACATGGGTACTCCGTGGACGCAGAGATTGCTACAGCACAGACCAAGAAGCTGTTACAGTGGGAGAAAGACTTAGCTGTAAGGAAGGGCACAGGAAAGATTTGGGTACCGAATTACGCCCCGGTACGGCAGATCCTATTGGAGGAGTTTCACGACGTACCTTACGCGGGACATTTCGGGAGCAACAAGACGTTAGCAGGGATAGCAAAGTATTACTACTGGCCCGGGATGGCAGCAGACGTGCAGCAGTTCGTCACCTCATGCGACACGTGCCAGCGGATGAAGAGCAGCAAGCAGAAAAAAGCAGGGTTACTTCAGCCTCTACCTGTATCGGAGCAGCCATGGCAGGTCGTTAGCCTCGACTTCATCACGGGACTTCCTTCGACCTCACGAGGGCATGATGCTATACTCGTGGTGATCGACAAGTTCTCTAAAATGGGTCACTTCATTCCGACCAACGCCACAGCTACAGCTGAAGCAACTGCTCGCCTCTTCTTCGACCGCATCATCACCATCCACGGCATCCCCGCTACACTCATCTCAGACAGAGACCCCAAATTCACGAGTAAGTTCTGGAAGGAGCTCATGGGATTATTGGGGACCAAACTTGCGATGTCCTCAGCATACCACCCACAGACTGACGGACAGACCGAGCGACTCAATCAGGTGGTTGAACAGTTACTGCGCACAGCTTGCAAGGACGACGTCAGCTACTGGGACACACAGTTACCGACCCTAGAGTTCGCTTACAACAATGCGTCACATGCGGCCACAGGGAAAACTCCTTTCTTCCTGTGTTACGGACGGGAACCACTCACACCACAGCAGCCAACTACACCGGCACACGTCCAAGCCGCACATGACTTCGTCACCACCATGCAGCAGCTATGGGAGAAGACTCAGCGACGTCTCACCACGATGCAGAACTCCCAGAAGCAGTATGCCGATCGTCAGCGACGTGATCACTCAGTAGCAGTCGGAGATCAGGTGTTTCTTGACACGCGCAACTTGAACCTGTCTCACCTACCATCCAAACTCCGGCCTCGCTTCTGTGGTCCTTTTCTCGTTGAGACACAGGTGACACCAGTTACATTCCGCTTGCGCTTACCAGATAGATGGAAGCTTCACAACGCTTTCCATGTCCAGCTACTGAAGCCCTACAAGGACCCCAACCAACAGTTCCAGGGACGGCAGCTACCGCCACCACCACCTGTTCTCATACAGGATGAACCAGAGTACGAAGTGGGGCGCGTTCTCACTCATCGGCGCCGCGGCGGCAAGGCCCTCGAGTTCCTGATATGCTGGAAGGGATACGACTCCACTGAGGACAGTTGGGTTGCAGAAGCTGATATGGGCAACGCACGCCATGCTCTCAAGGACTATCTTGTCAAGCAGGGTGTATCTCACGCCACCCAGCTTTGAGGGGGGGACGTGTGAGAGTACGACGGCTTATGTCAGCTATGTTTGCTTGCCTTTACTTTATCATGCTATTTCTAGCATAGGATAATTATATGCATGCATGAATTGCTTGATTTCCTAGGCTAGGTGCTTTCCTATATTTTATTATAGTTATAGCACCGAGCTAGGTTGCGTGCACCGAATTCTGGCTTTTCGGTTGCCACCGAATTGCCTTCTACCGAATTCGGGAAGGATCTGTTCGGGACGCTTCGCGACCCGCGGAACCTTCGCGTAACACCTGGTTACGGGGCCTTGTGTCGAGCCTATATATAGCCTCGTGTTGTACCCAGGTGATCATTCAATTACAATTCTCTTTTCTGAGCTCGATCCTAGATCCTCACACAGGCGGCACACACAGGTGACAGGCTCCCTCGGCACTAGTAGACAATGCATACATTGCAGTGAGAATAGCATCATAGTCAAGAGCAAAGATATCTACCCTCTGCCTAAGTAGCTCCACCCAGTCGGGGAGCTCAGCGTCGTCGCCAAACTCTGTACGCCAAGCGTCGCTCAGACGGGCGAAGCAGCGGGACTCTGTGTGACCACGCGTCCCGCAAGGCTGACCAGTCCGGACACCCGTGCTAATAACGTACGGGCAGCGAGCACTACTCAGCGACCCTCTACTCTGAGCGTACCACTCACGAAGCTGCTAGGGCGAAAGAGTCTCGCGCGGACGACACTGCTGCTGCACAGGGCCACTACAAGAAGCTCCCGAACTACCCACTCCAGGACGACTCCCATTACTGCCACCCCGACAACCCCAACTGGCGTACCACTCACGAAGCTGCTGGGGCGTGAGGGACACACGCGGACGGCCCCGGAGCTGCATCTGGCCACGCCAAGAGCAGTAGTAGAAGCAGGAGCAGCAGGAGCAGCAGTAGCAGTAGCAGCAGGGGCAGGGCAGTGCTCACCAGTGGTGGGAAGGGCAGGCGCACGACGGAAGCGACTGCGGGGCCGCTACAGCGGCAGGGCGGGGCCGCGACCGCGGCAGGAAGCTCCGCGGCAGTTGGTGCAGGGCGGGACCGGGCCGCGACGGCGGCTGGTGCAGGGCAGGGACAGGGCCGCGACGGTCGCTGCTGCAGGGGCGGCTGCTCCAGGGGCCAGGGGCAGCTCCTGCAGTGGCGGCTGCTCCAGTGGCCAGGGGCGGCTGCTGCAGGGGCGGCCACTCCAGGGGCCAGGGGCGGCTGCAGGTGCGGCTGCTCCAGGGGCCAGGGGCGGCTGCTGCAGTGGCGGCTGCTCCAGGGGCGGCTGCTCCAGGGGCCAGGGGCAGCTCCTGCAGTGGCGGCTGCTCCAGTGGCCAGGGGCGGCTGCTCCAAGGGCGGCCGCTCCAGTGGCCAGGGGCGGCTGCTGCAGGGGCGGCCGCTCCAGGGGCCAGGGGCGGCTGCTGCAGTGGCGGCTGCTCCAGGGGCCAGGGGCGGCTGCTGCAGGGGCGGCTGCTCCAGGGGCGGCTGCTCCAGGGGCGGCTGCTGTAGGGGCGGCTGCTCCAGGGGTGGCTGCTCTAGGGGCCTCGCGCGGGGTAGGGCTGGGCGATGCAGCGGGCATGGGCGACGCCGCGGGCAGGGGCGACGCGACGAGCAGGGCGACGCGGCGGGCAGGGGCGACGCCGCGGGCAGGGGCGACGCGGCGAGCAGGGCGACGCCGCGTCAGCAGCTGGGCGCGGCCGCGTCAGTAGCAGGGCGCAGCCGCGTCAGCAGGATGGCGCGGCCGCGTCAGCTGCGGGGCTGGCGGGCCGCGTCACGGCAGGGCGGGGCCGCGACTGCGGCCTGACGGGGCCGCGACTGCGGCCTGACGGGGCCGCGACTGCGGCCTGACGGGGCCGCGACTGCGACCTGACGGGGTCGCGTGCTGGCCTGACGGGCCTGCAGAGGCTGCGTGCGGGCGGCGAGGGCCTGCAGGGGCGGCGCGCGGTCGGGCAGAAGCTGCGCGCGAGCGGCGTGGTCCTGCAGGGGCAGCGCGCCGACCTGACGGGCCTGCAGGGGCGGTTCTCGGGCCTGACGGGCCTGCAGAGGCGGCTCAGGGGCTTGACGGGCTTGCAGAGGCGGCTCGGGGGCCTGACGGACCTGCAGGGGCGGCTCGGGGGCCTGACGGACCTGCAGGGGCGGCTCGAGGGCCCTACTAGCTTGTAGGGGCGGCGCACTGGCCTAGGGCAGCAGGAGGCAGCGCGAGGGCTGCAGGACGGCGCGCAGGCAGAACGAAGGGGGGGGGCGCGTGAGGGCGCACTAGCAGAAGAAAGGGGGCGCACGAGGGCGCACGAGCAGAGAAAGGCGCACGAGGGCGCACGTAAGGTAGGGCGCACGAGGGCGCTTCTAGCGGAATAGTGGGCCCGTAGTAGTAAGCGGTCCTAGGTGGCAACCTAGGCTCTGATACCATGTTAGAATGAACAAGGGTGATTGTACTAGGAAAGGGTTGGGTACAAGTAGGAAACCCTAAACTTACTGTACCCCATAGTAACTACCCCACTACAGCCTAAACAAACTGTAGCAGATATAACATTTGACACATCATCATCAGCATAGCATCAGCATCAGCATCAGCATAGCATCAGCATCAGCATCAGCCTTAGCATCAGCATCAGCATAGCATCAGCATGAGGATGAGCATGAGCATGAGCATGAGCATGAGCATGAGCATAGCATGAGCATAGCATCAGCATCAGCATCAGCATCTGCATCAGCATCACCGTCACCATCAGCATCAGCATCAGCGTCATCATCAGCATCAGCATCAGCATCACAATCAGCATCAGCGTCAGCATTCCCATCGCCGCTGGCTGAATACATGTCTGCTGGCCTTCTTCCCCTCTCTGCCTCTTTTTTCTCTTCAAAATGGCAGTGCATACCTATCTCACGCTGCTGCAGCAACTGTTGACTCTTTAGTCGATGCAAAGTCACTTCCCCCTTGTTCCTTCCTTTCTCTGCCTCTCGTTTTTGTTCAGAATGGCAGTGCACACCTCCCTCACGCTGCTGCAGCAACTGCTGCCTCTTTAGTCAATGCTTAGTCACTTCTCCCTTGCTTCTTCGTCTCTCTGCCTCTCCTTTCTCTTCTGAATGGCAGTGCACACCTCCCTCACACTGCTGCAGCAGCTGGTGGAACTGCATCAGGTGAGCTTGCAACGGGTGACCATGTAACCAGGTAGCCTTGCTTTGCAGTGCCCACCTCCCCCCCCCCCCCCCCCCCCCCCCAACCTGCTGCAGCAGCTGGTGGAACTGCATCAGGTGAGCTTGTAACAGGTTACCGTGTAACGATGTAACCAGGTAACCATGTGACTATGCAGGAAACAGTGCTTGAAATGGACGATATTTGTCACACTGCCACCTCACGCTTACTATGAGAGACCCCCCACGTGTGCATGTGCTTATGTGAGCATGTGTTTATGTGTGCATGTACTTATGTGCTGTTTGTCTTCCCACACATACAGGAGACTGTGTCAGAGATGGAAGATATTTATCACACTGCCGCCGCACGCTTGCTTGAGGAAACCCTCCACATGCATGTGTTGATCTTCCCACTGTGTCTTCTCGCTATGTGTTTACACATGCAGGAGACAGTGTCAGAAATGGAAGATATTTATCACACTGCTGCCGCTTCACGTTTGCTTCACGTCATGTGTTTATGTGTGCATGTGCATACGTGTTTCCCTTCCCACACATGCAGGAAACAGTGTCAGAAATGGAAGATATATATCGCACTGCCGCCGCACGCTTGCTTGAGGAGAATCTGCATGCGTCAGCCCAGCCTGCTGGTGATGATGGTGTAACTGCTGCTGCTGCTGGTGCAGTTAGCGGTGATATTGCTGATGTTCATAGTTCTAATGCTGCTGCTGTCGGTGCTGCTGTTAGTGCTGATGATGGTGCTGGTGATGGTACTGATGACAAGGACAGTTTGGGAGGAGCAATAGCAGGGACACGAAGCAGTGTAACAGTGCAGGCTGATGTGGTAACCATGATGGCAGCTGTGCTGGAAATGCTCAAGGAGGACCTTCAAATGAAGGTGCAGATTTGCCACCCGGGCTCGTTCGTTCTTAGATTGTTTCTCTCGATTTTTTTTGTTTTTCCCCTCGAACATGTTCTAGTCTGTTCAATGTCTCCTCCCCCACCTGCTCCCTTCTCACTGTCCCTCTTTCTCCTCTATCCTTTTTGTTTTCTGTGCTTGTTCTTGTCGTATTCAGCTCACCATAGTGGCAGACCTCTCTCTATCCACATCAGCTGCACACGTGTCAACATACTCGATGATGTGGCAGCTTCGGCCATTTGTGGATGAAAGGGTAACCAAAGAAGCTAGCAGATGGGCAAGTAGGATGAAGGTAGAAACTGCCAATTAAAATAAATGGCAGCTTAGATAGCTCTAATGCAAGAAGCTTTAATTTTCTGTCAGTACTTGGTAGCCATACCATCAGTTCAGTTCCCATATATCGCTTGAGTCTCTTTCTATTACTTATCATGTGTGGCTCACAGCGAACCATGTCTATATCGAGAATCAGCTCAAGTAAGGATCACGGCAGAATTGCGAAGCCCCGAAAAACGAGTCCGTTTGATTCGGTCCGAAATCCATCCTGTGTCTTCCTGCCCTCCTCTACAGCTGTGCTCCTCAATCAACCCAACAAAGCCAGCCATGGATGGCATTCAGATCCTACTGTCTTGTTCGTCCTTCTGTTATTATGCCTAAGGATGCCTAGGTTGTCGCTCACAGGTCACTAGCAGAATGGTGTTGTTCCATCAGTCATTGTGTGATCGTCTGGACGCTCAACTCAAGCGCCGCAGCTGCTCCAGGAATGACCGTTTTCAGGAATCACCCCGCAGTGACGATCTCGATTCTATTCCCTGAGTCGAATTTGCGGATAATATCCCCGTAATTTTCCACTCTGATTTCTCAGCGACGACGTCCGAAGAAACACGGCCGAAAACTCTGGTGCAGCGAATTCGGACACTTACGCAATGTCTAGCGCCAGAAAAGTGGCAGCTGTCGCGAGCTTGAAAGCGGCAGCGGAAGAGTCTGCGCGAGAGGTGAGGCCGCCGAAAGGGGGAGTTGGAATTCACACATTGTTGTAGCTGCCGAGATTCCGTTGTGCACATTGCTTGTGACGAATTACTGTGTTCTATCATTTCTCATTTGTTAGATATTTGCACCATTTATCTTGCTCTATTTTGCCAGGCAGATGCCGTCAGCGGCAAGGGACAACATCGGGGAAAGTTCGTGAACGCTCACCAGGCGAGACTCGCAAAATTTGAAGCGGCCAAGGCTAAGAGAGCAGCCGCTGCTGCTGCCGCGGCCGGTGGTTCTGCAGCCAATTCGGCTAAGTCTTCTAATTCTGCAGATGACTAGCGAAAGCAAGGTTAGTTTGGTAACTCGCCTGATTCTTTTGTCTCCTTAGTTTCCTTCCGGAGGGGCTGTGGGTTGGAGCTCGTTCGAGTGCTTCACGTGCTTGAAAGTCGCTCTATTCCACAGTGCCATCGCCTCTTCAAGTTGGCCTTCGGGGATATTTATTGGGAGCATTGTCAGAAGTGGCATGCCTCTGTGGTGTCCATCTCTTGGATTGTTCCTACATTAAGTTACAGTCACGTTCGTTTTAGCCATATTCTTCATTTCTATTCTCAGTTAGGTTGGGAAACGCTTACCGTTTCTCAGTTCAATCCATTTTCTTATCACCAGTTTTTTTCCTCAAGCCTACTCCATTATTTACTGAACCACAACTCGCATGTATTTGTTCGAATGTCCCCTTCCGCTGTTCCGCAGGAGGAGGCACAAGGCGCATGCTCCATATTTATCGAAGTCAAACCAATTGTAAATAGACATGAGATGAGATGAGAACTATATCAAAGCGTAGGTGCTTTGCTGTAGCCATGTTTGTTGACGCAATGAGATGAGAGGCATTACTTCACTCCAGATGTTCTGGTCTATTGTCTATCGGTTAGCGAGGAAGTGTAACTAATCTGTATCTTTGTCTTATATGTGAACTGTGATTGCATGTCTATTGTCCTATACTCAAGGAGAATCTTCAAGCACTTCCAGCAGAACTACCGTGTAGTGTGCAGTCGCGTCAGTCCCCCATTCATCCTATAGGTCGTACAAGGGGTCACTCACGCACTATCACAGAAAAATATTATTTACCTTGCACATCAAGCGTCATTCACGCTCCAAGTCACTTCACTGGACACTCAAGAGGGTTCCCGCCACCTAAGCAGCGGCGACTGCGAGTAATTCTTTTCCTAGCGCGGCCAACGAAATCTTTCTTGAATGCTCACCATGGCGCTCCGACCAGCGATGCAGCTGCTGGTAGCCTATAAGTCATCTTAGACCACTAGGCGAATCTCCCTCGGGATTGCCGGACGATTCGTCCTCGAGATAGGGTGACCAGCGAACGCCCGCCATGGCGATTCCCGCCAGCGAAGTGGCGGCGAGTGCAGCGGCCGCGTTCGCTTTCACTGCTGCGAACCGCAGCTGCATCATCGTCAGCCAGAAACAGGTACCGCGATTCTGAGTCCAAAAGAACCGACTTTCACCGCCACGAACCGCAGCTGTCTCATCGTCAGCCCAAAACAGGTCCCGCAATTATGAGTCGACTCAACAACAAGTCACCTTGAGTGCAGCCGCAGCGTTCGCTTTCACGGCTGCTAATCGCAGCTGCATCATTTTCAGCCCAAAGCAGGCACCGTGGCTCTGAGTCTCACTCGCCCTCCCCACCTCCTTGACGTTGCAGGGAGTTTTTGAGAATTCTCAAATACTCCCTTCAGCCCAAAGCAGGCACCGTGGCTCTGAGTCTCACTCGCCCTCCCCAACTCCTCCCCTTCTCACAGAACCCTTCCTTCTCCTTTCTGATTCGCAGTGCCCTGTACCGCAGAGGGGCAACCCTGTGCTCGTGTTTTGAGGCGCCTCGAAATTTTTTAGGCGACTTTTGAGGCGCCTCAAAGGTCTTCTCCTTTCTGATTCGCAGTGCCCTGTACCGCAGAGGGGCAACCCCGTGCTCGTGCACATCAGGAACGTGAGGTGGGCGTTTGGGACTAAACAAGGATTCTGCAAGTAGACTAAAAGAACACATCCCTCGGGTCTTTCCCCTTATGCTCCCTTTGCACGGCAGAGGGGCAACCCCGTGCTCGCTCACATCAGGAACGTGAGGTGGGTGTTTGGGACTAAAAAAGAGGCACCTTTTCCTTTCTTTCCCCCCTCTGCTCTGCCCTATCCTGTACTCCAGAGGGGCAACCCTGTGCTCGCTCACATCAGGAACGTGAGGTGGGCGTTTGGGGAGATCACTGCCGACTTGTGGCTAAACTCTCTCTCTCTCTCTGCTCGTTCCCCTCTGATGTCTACTCTGCATGGCAGCGGGGCAACCCTGTGCTCACCCACATCAGGAACGTGCGGTGGGCGTTTGGGGAGATCACGCCAGACTATCTCCTCTCCCCCTCCTCTTGCGCGCTCTTCCTCTCTCTCCGATACCACCTGCTGCACCCAGACTACCTCTACTTTCGAATTAGGTAAGTCGAAGCCTGTATTGGACTAGTTTGTAACGAACTATTGTACTCTCCCTCCTCATTATCTTTACTCTTCAATCAGCCAGATCTGAGCCTGGTTTTGTATATCTCATGCTTTCGTTTTCTGACATATTGACCTTTTCTATGCCTCTGCCTTTCGGCCAATTAGGGAGCTGCAGAAGAGCTTCCGCCTGCGAATCGTGCTGTGCCACGTGGACGTTGATGACGTCACCAAGCCCCTGCATGACATCACCAAGACGGCTCTTCTGAATGATTGCACACTCCTGTGCGCCTGGAGGTGAGATTCACTATTTAGGCAGCCCTATTTCCCTCTCTTCCTGCCTGCCTGCCTGCCTGCATTCCTGCCTGCCTGCCTGCCTGCTCCTCTCTCCCACCCTCTCTGCCTTCCTGCACTGCTCCTACCCCTCAGTCCCAACGAGTGTGCACGATACCTAGAGACTTTCAAGAGCTACGAGAACAAGCCGGCTGATTGCCTGCCCTTCTCTTCTGTCACACTTCCCCTCCTGTCCCTTCTTCTTCCGTCTGCTACCTACCTTCCTCCCTGTTCCAGTCCCAACGAGTGTGCGCGGTACCTGGAGACTCTCAAGAGCTACGAGAACAAGCCGGCAAATGGCATTCAAGAGCGGGTCGACAGTGACTATATTTCCCGGGTAACTATATTTGAACAGTGACAATGTTTTCTGGGTAACTATTACTATTACAGTGGCCTGCCTCTGTCAGTTTTCAAGAGCAGGTAGACCGTGGTTACATTTCCCAGGTAATGGTGATGATAGGGGGTTTTACTGAGAGGCCTCGGTTACTTGTTCTGAGACATGTTGAAGTCAAGAAATGGGTAGGGATGATGCGAGGTTTTTCGAAGAGGCTTCAGCTTCTTGCCCCTGTTCTGCCTGCCCGTACCTGCATGTACACGATTGGACGGCAGTGACTATATTGGATAGCTTTTGACACGTCTCAAAAGTTGCCCTCTGCCTGCCGGTATGAATACAACTGGTTAGTGACTGTATTTCCCGGGTACTGATGAGTCTCTGGGTAATGATGACCCTACATGAGTGAAGCTGCTGCTGCTCTCTCCCTCCTCACACCAACCCTCCCCCACCCTCCGGACCGCCCCTTCCCCTCTTCCCTCTGTCCAGCTCTCACTCTCTTGGCTCTCTCCCTCCTTTCCAACCCACTTCTCCCCCTGCTGTCCCGTTCTCCCACCCGCCTCTCCCCCCTTCTCCTCCCACCCGCCTCTCCCGCCTTCTCCTCCTGCTCTCCAGCTCACCAGCGCCCTCCCTCACGCCCATCCGCCATGTCAACTGCACCGATGCTCTCATGCCCTCTCCCTCCTTTCTAAACCCCCTTCACTACCTCCCATCCTCCCTCTCCCCCATCTCCCCCTCCTCTCCAGCTCACCAGTGCCCTCACGTCCATCCGCCATGTCAACCGCACCGTTGCCCTTACCCTCGCTTTCCCCTTCCCTCCAAACAATCCTCGCACTCCCTCATTTCATCCCATCTCTCCAGCTCACCAGCGGCCTCACGTCCATCCGCCATGTCAACAAAACCGATGCTCTCACTCTGGGGACTAACTTTGGGGTGAGAGAGTGTGTGAGTGAGTGAGTGTGTGTGTGAGTGAGTGTGTGTGAGTGTGTGAGCGTATGTGCGTAAGAGAGTGAGTGAGTGAGTGCTCTCACTTTGGGGACTAACTTTGGGGTGAGTGAGTGTGTGTGTGAGTGAGTGTGTGTGTGAGTGAGTGTGTGTGTGAGCGTATTTGTGAGTGAGAGAGGTAACAAGATAGAAGCCCGCCATTCGAGGACGCTAATATCTTCAGTGCTTCCATTCCATGTGTTTTTCTTGTACTGTCTATCGCCAAACCTTGGCCAACAACATGGGATGGTGAATTGGTCCCTTTTTTTAAGGCACCTAATAAATGGTGACTTGGTGTCTGGTGCCTTGTGTTTTTTTGCCCTGATTTGTTTTCTTTTTGCGTAACTACATTGAGGCATTTTTATGTAGTTAAAAGTTTTGAGGCCTTGGTGACTTGGGCTTTCACGCAAAACTCTGCCCTGTAATTTGCCATGCTCGCTTTAATCATACAAGTTTTGACACTGCAGTTACATCATGCCTTCTCGTTTCTTCTCGTGCTCTCATTCTGACCAGACTCTGGCTAATATCATGGGGGCATCGATGGATGAGCTCTCGCGGTGCCCAGGAATAGGAGAGAAGAAGGTGTGTGTTGGTGTGGTGGTGTGCGGTACAGAGGTGTATGTGTCAACATCATGCTTCCATCTGAGCAGACTCTGGCTAATATCATGGGAGCATCGATGGATGAGCTCTCGCGGTGCCCAGGGATAGGAGAGAAGAAGGTGGGTGGGTGAGGTACAGTGCTGTATGACTTGGTGGTGTGCGGTACAGAGGTGTATTTGTGTGTTGATGGTCAGGAGACAGTAGAACATAATGGGGGCATCAATGGACGAGCTCTCGCGGATCCCAGGGATAGGAGAGAAGAAGGTGCGTGTGCCATGTGGTGGTGTGCGGTACAGTGGTTTATGTAAGTGTGTGGTGATGTATGGCAATGAGGTGTTTGATGTGGTGGGTTGTGGTTATGAGGTCAGTAATATGGTGATGGGACCTTACTTTTGAGAATTCTCAAAAGTAAAATTCACATAATTTGGTGATGGGACCAGGGACAGAAGAACAGCATGGGGTATCGATGGACGAGCTCTCGCGGTGCCCAGGGATAAGAGAGAAGAAGGTTGTGTCAAAGTGGTGCTGTGCGGTACAGAGGCATATGTGTATGGTGGTGTGCGGTACAGAGGTTTGTGTGTGTGTGGTGATGTGACAGGAGACAGAAGAACAGCTAGGGGGTATTGATGACGAGCTTATTGTTCTGTCCCTCCCCCAACACCACCAGATCAACTGACTGTTTGCTCTGCACGACCTGCTTGTGAGTTGACTCAAGAGCTTATGGTTCTGTCCCTCCCCCAACACCACCAGATCAACTAACTGATTGCTCTGCACGACCTCTCAATTGCCTTCGCCTGTGTTTTCGCTCGCCCTAAACCTTAAACCCGAAACCCTGAGTTTCTGTGTAAAAATGCATCATCATGTTGTTTCCACAACTCATCACCACCAGATCAAGTGGTTGCACGCCGCCCATGAGCCAGTCTTTTGAGGCGCCTCAAAAGTTGTTTCCACAACTCATCACAACTCATCACAACTCATCACCACCAGATCAAGTGGTTGCACGCCGCCCATGAGCCAGTCTTTTGAGGCGCCTCAAAAGTTGTTTCCACAACTCATCACAACTCATCACAACTCATCACCACCAGATCAAGTGGTTGCACGCCGCCCATGAGCCAGTCTTTTGAGGCGCCTCAAAAGTTGTTTCCACAACTCATCACAACTCATCACCACCAGATCAAGTGGTTGCACGCCGCCCATGAGCCAGTCTTTTGAGGCGCCTCAAAAGTTGTTTCCACAACTCATCACAACTCATCACAACTCATCACCACCAGATCAAGTGGTTGCACGCCGCCCATGAGCCAGTCTTTTGAGGCGCCTCAAAAGTTGTTTCCACAACTCATCACAACTCATCACAACTCATCACCACCAGATCAAGTGGTTGCACGCCGCCCATGAGCCAGTCTTTTGGGGCGCCTCAAAAGTTGTTTCCACAACTCATCACAACTCATCACCACCAGATCAAGTGGTTGCACGCCGACCATGAGCCAGTCTTTTGAGGCGCCTCAAAAGTTGTTTCCACAACTCATCACAACTCTTCACAACTCATCACAACTCATCACAACTCATCACAACTCATCACAACTCATCAGATCAAGTGGTTGCACGATGCTTTCCATGAGCCAATCTAAGAGGCACCTCAAACTCCAGGAGCTCCAGATGAACCTGACTTTGTCTGTGTTTCTGCTCCCACCCTCACCAGATCAAGTGGTTGCACGATGCTTTCCATGAGCCAATCTAAGAGGCACCTCAAACTCCAGGAGCTCCAGATGAACCTGACTTTGTCTGTGTTTCTGCTCCCACCCTCACCAGATCAAGTGGTTGCACGATGCTTTCCATGAGCCAATCTAAGAGGCACCTCAAACTCCAGGAGCTCCAGATGAACCTGACTTTGTCTGTGTTTCTGCTCCCACCCTCACCAGATCAAGTGGTTGCACGATGCTTTCCATGAGCCAATCTAAGAGGCACCTCAAACTCCAGGAGCTCCAGATGAACCTGACTTTGTCTGTGTTTCTGCTCCCACCCTCACCAGATCAAGTGGTTGCACGATGCTTTCCATGAGCCAATCTAAGAGGCACCTCAAACTCCAGGAGCTCCAGATGAACCTGACTTTGTCTGTGTTTCTGCTCCCACCCTCACCAGATCAAGTGGTTGCACGATGCTTTCCATGAGCCAATCTAAGAGGCACCTCAAACTCCAGGAGCTCCAGATGAACCTGACTTTGTCTGTGTTTCTGCTCCCACCCTCACCAGATCAAGTGGTTGCACGATGCTTTCCATGAGCCAATCTAAGAGGCACCTCAAACTCCAGGAGCTCCAGATGAACCTGACTTTGTCTGTGTTTCTGCTCCCACCCTCACCAGATCAAGTGGTTGCACGATGCTTTCCATGAGCCAATCTAAGAGGCACCTCAAACTCCAGGAGCTCCAGATGAACCTGACTTTGTCTGTGTTTCTGCTCCCACCCTCACCAGATCAAGTGGTTGCACGATGCTTTCCATGAGCCAATCTAAGAGGCACCTCAAACTCCAGGAGCTCCAGATGAACCTGACTTTGTCTGTGTTTCTGCTCCCACCCTCACCAGATCAAGTGGTTGCACGATGCTTTCCATGAGCCAATCTAAGAGGCACCTCAAACTCCAGGAGCTCCAGATGAACCTGACTTTGTCTGTGTTTCTGCTCCCACCCTCACCAGATCAAGTGGTTGCACGATGCTTTCCATGAGCCAATCTAAGAGGCACCTCAAACTCCAGGAGCTCCAGATGAACCTGACTTTGTCTGTGTTTCTGCTCCCACCCTCACCAGATCAAGTGGTTGCACGATGCTTTCCATGAGCCAATCTAAGAGGCACCTCAAACTCCAGGAGCTCCAGATGAACCTGACTTTGTCTGTGTTTCTGCTCCCACCCTCACCAGATCAAGTGGTTGCACGATGCTTTCCATGAGCCAATCTAAGAGGCACCTCAAACTCCAGGAGCTCCAGATGAACCTGACTTTGTCTGTGTTTCTGCTCCCAGCCTCACCAGATCAAGTGGTTGCACGATGCTTTCCATGAGCGGATCTATTTTAAGCGCCTCGACAGCCGTAATCTCCAGATTCACTTGGCTTCGCTTGCATTTCCACACCCCACTCTCACCAGATCAAGTGGCTACACGATGCTTTCCATGAGCCTTTTCGAAGGCGAGGATCCAAACAGGCCAAACTAGCCCTCCTTCCTGCAGCTGCTGCTGCTGCTGTTGGTACTGCTGCTGCTGGTGCTGCTGTTGGTGCTGGTGTTGGTGGTTCACACCCTGTGGTTACCCTGTTTCCATACCCCATTCTCACCAGATCAAGTGGCTACATGATGCTTTCCATGAGCCGTTTCGGAGGCGAGGATCCAAACAGGCCAAACTGGCCCTCCTTCCTGCAGCTGCTGCTGCTGCTGTTGGTACTGCTGCTGCTGGTGCTGTAGCTGGTGCTGCTGTTGGTACTGCTGCTGCTGGTGCTGTAGCTGGTGCTGCTGTTGGTACTGCTGCTGCTGGTGCTGCTGTAGCTGGTGCTGCCGAGGGTTTCGCTGGTGTTTCTGATGGTGCTGGTGCTGCTGCTGCTGGTGCTGCTGCTGCTGCTGCTTGTGGCACCACTGCTGCTGGTGGCGCTACTGCTGGTGACAATGGTGTTAATGATGGCACTGCTGCTGCGACTGCTGACGCTGTCACCACTGTCACTACGGATGATACTACCGCTACCGCCGCTACTGTGGAGGCTGCTGGGGATGGCAACGCTGCCGCTGCACCAATGGATAAAACACCGGCCCTTCATGCTGCTAGCAGTGCAGTCAATACAGAGGATGACCCCATTTCAAGCAGGGAATTTCGTGAACAACAGCCTTCAGATCTTGCTGATTTCCGTGCTGCTTTTTCTCATATCCGACCTTACACGTTTTGAGACGTCTCAAAACCAGTCTTCTCATGTCCGGCATGACACCGTTTGAATAGACGGGCAGGGCAGTGATTTGTTCATTCTGTTAGAAGTCTTAGGCAAGGATGAATTGAGTATCGAGAGAGTTGGTACAAGAGGAAAACTCTAAGGGGTTATACCCCACACTATCTACCCCACTACAGCCTAGCAATAACACT